CCACTTGTTTTTTTAATGAAAGCGATATTTCAAAGACAATCATATATGAAAAACACATTTCTGTCGCCTTGTTTTTAAGTTATAAATAAATCGGAACGGTTACAAATATACCTGAATGTAGAGGAGGTGGCGTCGAAAACAACTTCCACGTGTGATGGTCTACACCTAACCTTGGAGATTAATACAAAGTCGACTTTGTTGCTTTACGGAACGACAAATGTTCACAAATCTCGAGAGCGGCATGTTAAATGTGAAGCAGAATTATCAACTAATGACCCCGAATGTTGGCTGCGAGAATCCGGATGTGCAACCTGCATATAGTTGCCAAGAAATTTTGAATATGTGGCTAATGAAGCAACGAAGGATGCTTACTATCTTTATTAAGCAAAAAAATCTTTCTAATTATGCAAACTTTGCTACTATAATAATATCCTTACCAGCCTATCTATTACATATTAACTTATTTGTACCCTGATTAATCTTCCTACTCGTGTTTTAGATCATATAAATTAATACGTAATCTTCTTTTTTTTCCAGATATCTTCATCTTAAAACTCTACAAGTCTCTTTATCAAGATTTAATTAAAATTTATGAATATAGGAAGCCTTTTGAATATTCTTTTCTTATCTAATGTCGTATAGGCTCGTTTCCTGCTACTATCCATATAGAAGTACCTCTATGCAGAGCTTGGTGTCGTGTTAAATCATCATTAAGCAGTAGATCCAGGAAGGGGAGTTTCTCACACACTTTATTCTTGATGTAGCATGAAGTGGAAGTCGGGTCCAGTTTTCGAGTGTTTAATTCATAAATGCCAACTCTATAGCGTGGCTTTTAACATCCCAATTGCTGTATATACACATATAAAAATGTTCTATTCTTTCTACACAAGAATTGATTGCTATTCTGTAACGAATTGATCGATTATGTAAACTTTTCCTCTTATGTCTCCGAGTAGAATGGATAATTATACACATTAAGAGAGTAAGCTGCAGGTATATTAAACAATTACATCATAGTTACTATATAACTAGTATCGAGAACTAAGAGAAGGAATGTTTAAAAATATTTCTGTAAACATCAAATATTACATAATCTTAGATATTTTAAATTTAATTTAAAAAATCTACGGATAAATTATATAATTTGATAGGAAATCAATTATTTTTAAACGATTTATAAGCTTATTTTTAATTCTGAAATTTCCCATATTCGATAATTATATTTAGCTCAAAGGGCCAAATTTGCCCTTTGAACAATAGTAGCAATCGAGCGTTTGTGGTCTTTAGATAAACAAAACAAGATAAGAAGACATTATATGTCAAAGTTCAAAGCTAATCTGTATATCTAACATTAATTATCTGATCAATAAGTTCCACAACAATTCAATTATAGAAAATTTACGAGAAATTCAAAATGTAATAAGAAAATGATAAAAATATATATATATATATTTTTTAAGATCGGATCTAAATATGTAAACAAGTAAAATGTTAAAGTTTACATCTTATTGTTTGAAAACTGTAGATTTATTATTCGTAGAAAAAGGGTGCAGTACGGATCGATGACCAATAATCTCGCCTGTTTTCAATTAGGTTGTTTGTGTTTGGTTTCGGGTGAGGATTGAGGTTGGAAGGAGAACCTCTCTAAGCGTTTCCGTGTGGAAAGCTAGCAGATAGACTTACATCCAAGCAATTTAAGGAAGAAAGTAGACCAGACACGCTCTTCTTTATATCTTCTACACGCGAACTATCTACGGCACCACTTTTCCCTTTTATTACGACTGGGATTTTAAAAGATAAAATATGATCCTTCGATTTAAGAAAGTTAAAATCAATTTTAAGTGTAATCGAAACAAATGGATCTTCTTTTTCTTTTCTTTTTTTCTTTTTCTTTTATTTTATCTTTAAAATTATTCCGTTAGAAAATGGTTTTCATTTTAATTTTAAAAAGCATTTGCATCTTCTCCAAAATTCATTGATCTAAATCTTCTTGATATAGGTTTATGGATACGATATTCTGATTAGATTAGGCATTCTCGTGGCAGTGTATAAGGCTGATTTTGCAAGAAATTCTTCTGTTAATTTTCCTTTTTGCTATCGACCTCAATTATTTTCAATATCAAATACTTCTTGTAGGGCCTTAGAAAATGAAAGGCCCTACAGGAAACCACATTTTCAATTATTTCAAAATTTTTATTATTGATAAAACCTAAATCTCGGATATTCATCTTAACTGATCCTCCGCATCCTGCTGTTAAAACTAAACTTTTATACTGTTATGTAGACATAATAGGCCCTAATAAGGCAATAAGATCGCAACTACTTTTCTTCGGGAGGCTTCAAACAGGTTATAATCTGTTGAGGCCTCTTAATCGCACTTAAATTTAGGCCTGTATGTAAATACAATATTCTTTATTTTAGAATGTATACGTACTATGAGAATTATCTTCACCGTAACCGATATCAGGCCTTCGATAGGGTTTAGACACGTTTTAGTACCTCATATTGAGTAAAACTAATAAACCAAACTCACAAATCTGTTGTCAGAGACGAGGAAAAAAGAGGGAAAAGGCGATAGATCTTGTAAATGGAACCAACCTATGTCAGCGTATAGTGTAACTTAAAACTGTAAAGTGTTGTTTGAGGCCTAAACATATCCCAGATGCCGAGATCCCGGATCGCTGTGACAACCTATCCTGGATAAACTGTTAAAATCGCGACCAAATACCAAAACTTAACGCGATAAGCTACTAGTGTTGATGTGTGGGAGATGGACAGATTGTTAAACAAGGAAGATCAAATTTAACGAGAAGAAGTATATGGCCAGTTGACTTCTAACCCGGATTTATACAGCAAATTCTATTTGTTTTTTATATATCAATTATAGAGCTTTTAAACTCGTAAATTAGACAGGACTAAACTAAGAGGACTTTAAAAAAATATGGAGGAAAAAAGACCGATGATAAATAAATAAGTTCAAAATAAAGATATGTCCTAAATCAAATAAAATTATTAAAAAATAATATAAAAAATCCCCCTTCTGAGGACGAACAAACAAGGCTTTAGTAAACCGAAACAATGACTGGATCGTTGACTTAACTGCTAAAAAGTACTCTAAATTTCTCCACAGACATCATTAATTGTTAGAAATTTATATAAATATTAGAATTTGTTGGTTTCCCAATGATATTCTGCAATATCTGAAGGTCATTAAAGCCAATGAGGCTTAACGTTCAATAGGAATAAAGGGATTAACTAGGATGCGTTTTTCTTCGCTAGATATAATAGACAAGTAATAATAGGCCAGTAAATAAGCATTCTAAACAGATTTGTGGCTTAAATACATCCAGAAATTGCATTCTATGCATCATATAATGCAACAGAAGTAGCCTAATTAGCTTTAAAATTTAAATTTCTAAAGCTATTTCAGAAGTATAATTAGAAGGTCTTAAACTTATAAAGTGTAATCTAGTTTATGCAGAAATTCAAAATTTACTTTTCGAGTTTTTAAATTTAAAAACAATTGCTTCTATTTTAAGAAAAAAAGGAAATTTAAAATTGGATTCTTATAAAAAAATCAATGGAGGTTATTTCTATAAAATTAAATTGTTAAAGAAACTATTCATGAATTAAAAATCTTGCATTAAAGTCGATTTATCAATGTCACTTTAATGGATTTTGAATTTATTAAACAGTTAGAAAAAAGTATAGAATGTTACTTTTGATAAGAATTCATCAATATAAATCAATGGAAGATAGATCAAGTCAATCGTAAGAGGCCTTCACGATTTTGATGATAAGCCTTTTGGCCTTTTCGAATTTTTCTTGTTGTTCATCTTCCAGAAACCATTAGAACGTAAATCCTTAACAAAAAAAATCAAAGATGGTTATCGGGAGAAGAATGGTACCTTGTAAAAAGTGGATGACAATCAGGAAATACTCTTTATAACGTTACGATTTAAATTACAAGACGAGTAACAGAATGTTATAACGATTTATAGTGGGGCCTACAACAATTTTGACACGGAATTGATAGATAGAATGATGCATGACAGCGGAACTGTCTCCAGTTGTGGACAGAAGCAGGAGCCACTGGAGTCTTTAATAATGCAAAGGTTGTTAGACCTAACTGTGCAGCACTGATTTAACTTGATTAATTCCTCTCTCCCACCAATCCGCTATAATTGGATAGAACGGTAGGAACTACTACAGACAGCAAGAATGTCTCTCAAACTCGTCTTATCAAAATTTAAATCCTCGTTGCAATATAAACCTAAGTTCTTATAAAAAAGCCTGCTTATATAAAAAGAAAACTGTTATATTTTCCTTTAAAATTATTTATTACTAAACATGGGATATGCTGATTTTTATCATATAGTTTAATGCCTAGTAGGCAAATATCTTCAGTGTTTTTTTTAGAATAAATAATTTATAGCTCTACTAATAAATTAAGGCTTTAGACTTCCTGCAAATCGTGCATCTGCTCAATTTACTGATCCACCTGGCTCGATAAGGCATAGGATCGTTTCCTTGTTAAACAATTTGTGCAAAGGCCCGACGGGAGAAGATAATCTTACCATAGATCTCGAATTTCTTAACTTTTGCTACCATCACTGCAAAGTATCGGCATTCTACATTACCGAGAAGAATTTCTATGAGTTATTTCACGAGCCTCTGAGAATTTAATATAAATACATTATTAAACGGGTTTAAAATAAGGCTATTTTAAATTTTAACTTAGGCCTAGAACTCTGAAGGTATCCTCGATTGCAAGAGACTTAAATTAATGTTCTGGTAAGATTTTTAAGTTAGAAATAAGCTCTTAAAATGACGAGTTTTCTATTGAGGAAGGCTCGATAATCTCAATTTTATCAAGAGTTTTTGTTGGTTCGAGATGAGAGAAATATGCCAATTGCGCGTACAAGAAGGGAGCTTCAGAATACACGCGCTACTTCTAAGTGCTACTATTTATTAATCATTTAGAAGGGACGAGGACTTACCTTGTAGCTTGTCTTTGCGATTTAGAGGTCCCGTTCGAGACATGATGGCCGCTATGGAGAAGTCCGTGGCCCGATGGCCTATGGTCGACTTGGTCACAGCACCTATTGGCTGCGACTCTTGCATCCCGATGCCTTCGTCGCAGATTAACATGGGGCACGTACCGGACGTTACTACTTTTTTACGAAAAGATTGTCCCGTTTTACACGTGTTCGAATGTCTTATAGAGAGCTTTATTTGCTGTTTACATAGTCCGAGAACGGGCTCAGTATCCCGAGGCGTCGATGCTCAGTTTTACGGGGTTCTTCAAGGGAGACCGTGTTCCATGACGCTACCGGCGACAACATCTGCCGTAATGGTGACGTTTCAACACCGGCAGCACTAGTGCAAGACCCACGGATAGGTGGCGCTTGTTACAGGTCGGTGTTGGTCCGCGATGGGCGGAGTAATGCCTCTACAACTTTCCGGAGTGGGTGGGTTGCTAAATGTTGGGAGGTGCACAACAGCTAATTTTCTTCCCTCTATGCTGCTCTAATGCGCTGATATTAGGGTTACGTTGGGGCGTTGGAGAGACAGACAGTCGCTCTCTTTGACTGACATCTTTCGATTGACGGTGCTGACAAATTTGTCATGCATTCTGCTGAGGTTTATGTAATGGGAGGAGATCCATCGGTTCTGCCGGTTTCGATTACAGTTTAAAAATTAAAAATAATAAAAAAATATTAAAAAAATCAGACGATGATGACGTCTTCCATCTTTCGTCTTCTTCCCTAAAAATATTAGAAAAAAATTTTTTTTTAAGTATTAAAAAAATTTTGGAGTGGAACTGTTATTTGTGGTTTTAAATAGAGAATTTCATCACCGAGATCGCGTTGCTTTTCAGAAAAAAACAAGTTAAATAGCACCTTTTCAAAGGTCAGACCTCTTTATTGACAAATTAGATTGATTAAAAAAAGAATTAGAAAAATTCGTTTAGAAACAATCGCAGTTCGATAAGATACAAAAGAATGGATGCTAACTATTATTAAATATATTTAAATGTGTATTATTTGCTTGAAGATGATTTAAATTGACGAAAATTTTCAGAATTTTACAACTTTGCATTCATTTAAATCATGTTTTCTTAACCGAATCATGCATTTCCTGTTGTGTTCGAGTATTGTAAGATCTCAGAGATAGGGAAACTTACTGAGTAAACAACAGCATAATTGCGTGTTTTGCATTATAGAATGATTGTGACGTGTTTAAAATTTAATTACATTGAAATTACGGATTAAAACATGATTGAAAGACAAAAGAAAATTAAATAGTTAAATAGGTTATCCAGTCGTCATTCACATGTCAATGTAAAGCACGTGAAAACCATAATTGTTCTAGTCTAAGTTTAATCTTTCAAGTCACGTATATTATTTAAGCTAAGGGGATGAGAATTCTCAAAGCCAATAGTGCCTTACAGCTGAGAAAAAGCAACCCCCCCCTTGTACGGTTCATTGTGACGATTTCCTTCAGCGCTCTCACTTATAGGGATCCTTATCTTATTATTTACTTATAGTTGAAAGGTATAGTTTATTTAAGTATTTCTCCCCAATAAAATTAATGTCAGGAAAATCTCCCCTCGGAGGGGCATTCATTATGCACTGGGAAGAGGGGACCTTTTTTTTTCTCTTCGCTGTTTTCACATGTTGTAACATTTTTCACCTTGCTACATGCGACAGAAACATAGATTTTATCGAATAAAACGCCAAGATAGAGGTTTTTTAAGGAAATTTCTTTGATATTTGAGGAAATTTCCTCTTAGGTAAGATATAATACTTTAAAATATTGCTTTCTTACAGTAACTTTGCGATTGCAGTATTTAAACCGCTTACTGTAGAAGGAAGAAACGTGAATTTTAAAGTAAAATTTATTAAATTTATCAAATTTATGAAGGAAAAAAATATGCAAACATAAATTTATTCGGGAGCCAAAAGCAGTTTACCTCCAAAAAACGAAACCACGCCATCTAGGGGAGGAACAGAGAACTATCGACGAGTCACCATTTATATAATTTAATCAATTAAGATTTTTCTTATCCGTATTTAGAAAAAAAAAGGATGGTTAAGTCGCGTTATACCTTAATTTACATTTATAAGAAATTAATAGGGTATTCGTGCCCGAGGAAGAGGCCCTCGCACCTTATCTAATTTCGTTTGCGACTGAGAAAACTTCGTACAATGCGGATATTTGGAGGGTAAAGACCACCCCGATGACGGTCAACCTACCTTTATAGTTCGCACTTATTCCATTGTTAGTATTACCGACGTCATATCGACGTCATCGAAATACAACGGAATTCTTATAATTGTGGCGGTCATCATTCCCACAGAACACAACAATGGACGGCTATCAAGCGAAACTGGTCATTTGAGGGTGAGTAATGACCCGAAGTGTGCCTGGGGGATCTTGGTGCAACCCTAAGCCATTAACAGGTGCTAGAGTACAGGAACCAGCTGTACAGCATTTAATTTCGTCTTCTGTTTACGTCCTGCAATAGCTTATCCAGACACGCGACCTTCTAAAACTCGAAAATGGCCTCTTATAATTAATATATTCAGCATCTTTCGTATCTTTGGTAGTTCCTTTGCATACCTTTCCTGTTGGATATTGACTAGATACAGGAGAGAAGGAAAAAAAAAAAAAAACATTAAGAGTTTAAAAAAAAAGGCTAGAACTATTTTATTTATCCATCAGGATCAGTTGGTGAGAGGCATAAAACAATTTTGATCCAGTTTTTCTAAGGTGATGGAGAGGAAAAACAACTTTTTTACGACGTTAATCATTGCTGTCATCTATAAGGATAATTCTAGTTCGGTCGCAAATTCTGAACCTGTGACAAGAGGGAAATTTATCACAACACTATGGAGGAAATAGTGTTTACTCGAAGCGTTAGACCCAATTTAACAGTAGAAACTGTGTTAAAAACTCGTCGATAATTGTCCTTCTAGGTAATGTAAACAAAATTGGTCTGCACTTAATAAGTGGAGAGTCTGGTATCAGAGGGACTGCATTCGAACAGCCAACGACTCAAATGTGGCGCCGGTCAACGTGTTGGTCCATATAACCTAGATCAAGTCGTCTGTCCGCTGTTTTAGATCTGGTACCCCTCACTACTTAGCGACATAATGGTGTCTGTGAGATAACGACTCTGACTGGGAAAACTTAGGCGACCAAACACGGTTTTATCAATGCACTCACTCGCCAACGCGACGGAAATAGAGGAGTACCGAGCGCCATAGGAGGGCCCCGACTTCCTTTCATTAATGGTTGTATTAAAATGTGTTTTATACGACCAAGCTAATTAGTTAGGATCGGCTAGTTAAAACTTGATAAATCTTTCGATCTTTATCTTACAAACAGGCGGTCTGGACGGAGACAGAAATAAGAAACTGGCAGATGTCGATGACAAGTTTTAACTTTCTTCCGGTGCCACGACGACATTATTGAAGAAGCGAAGACAAGACTTGACCACCCACCTTACAGGCAAGGCTCTTGGCAAGGTCAACGCATTGCGTCATAGAGCACATACACACATAGTGTTCAATTTATTTTGGAGAAGTTCTCTATACTTTTCTTCGTCCCCAGAAAGTTTTTTAATATAAAAAAACGGAAGAGATAAACGGAAAGTTAAGAAGTGCCATTAAGTAGAATTTACAGTAAAGATAAATAAAAAAAGGAGCGTTATTAAGTAGGGCCTTGAGGCTAGGCGTGAATGAATCAAAAGGGCCTTGTAGCATGGAAGAAAAGGCGTCAGCCAGTCCTCATTCTCAGTATCTCGTCAATAAAGCAGAGTGATAGTTTGGTCAACAGATACAGCGAAGTAATCGTCCAGATTTGTTGGCGCCGAACATATCGGGGACTGGAGACAGACGAATGTTTTGGAAACAATATCATGGGCAGCTAATGGAAGGAAATTCAGCCTTTTAACTGTTCCACACAAACCATAAAGCGTTAGCCGCCTAATTATCAACCAGTTTGCCTTCTTGCGTAACCGCTCGCATGTTAAGACCAAGAGGGAGATGCCGAGTGATACTTCACCTCCCGGAAAAGTTATTATGGAGTAAAATTACACTCGCCACGTTTAATTAATCGCCGGTTTAAAAATAATAACGCGTATCACAGATGGCACGTAAGCGTTAAGCTCTTTATTAGGATTATACTGTATATATCTTACACCCAATACAACCCACAGCCGCATAAGAGATGAATTAAAATACTGTGTATATAGGCTATATATAAAGGAAATAATTAAAAAATTATATCGTAACTTCCCGTTACACAATGGATCGATAAATTATCGATACAGTAACTTGTATAACGTTACGTAACGAATTTTTTATCACTTACGTAAGTTATTGTACGTTAAGTAATATTACATAAAGGGGGCTTTTAATGCTTCGTGATATTTAAACCGTGTTAATGCGTGTTTTCATTGGATGGCCGATTTTAATAGCTATTTTCCTAACCGTAACAGTTTCTAAAAGCGTCAGGAGAGTTAAAATACTTAAGTAGGATGACACGCGATACTCGTACTGTTTATCTTAGTTAAACCGAAAAACTCTTTAGTCTCTTTCTTTATGGTAACATACGTCAACATTAACAAAAGTCGCGGCATGTACTTAGCAAAGCGCTACTGATGCTGCCAACGGGGAGACAGTATCGCTCCGTCAATGACAAAGCTACGAAGAATCACCCTCGTCACTCCTCCAGTATTAAATGTCCTTTAGTAAAAGATGCAACGTCGGCGACCTCTTTTCTTCCACAAAACTCGTATTTTTATCGTATATACTGGTAAAGTAACGAGGAAGAGAACCCCCCAGACCTCTATCATTACTCATTCTTGCATGGATCGCCTTTGTAACGCATCTCCCGTTACCGTTCTTAATATAGTCCTTGCGGGCTTTATAATACGGATGCGAATTCGGTCGTACGTCTGTATTTTAATATTTCGAACTGACAATTATTAATAGATTCTTCTTGTACAACAAAGTCGACCTTGAACGGAATCGTAAATCATACTTATCTACGTCGTGCATCATGCAAATCAGCTGGATATTCTGGTGCAATCGACATCTCGTTACCATCGTTCTGTTCTTTTTTTTTTGTATTTTTGTTTAAGTGTGTTTGTTAAGTTAAAATGGAAAAATCTCACCTGTAATAAGCGCGTTTATGGAACGGAGGTGCGTGCCACACGTTCGACTTTTGTGTTGACAGCGCTATGCACCATTCCTACCGTATCTCCGTACGATCGTATCGAAGAAGGTGCCCTGCGCCGCTTTACAATAGAACAGCACGCTCGAGCTGTCACCCCCTTTACACCGTCACGTGACCAGATCGTGTACGGAAATTACACGCATTGGTTCGACTGTCCGACCACTTCACGCAAGTCATTCCGTATTCGGGTCATAAGCCAGTAGTAATGAAGTATGTCATTTGTCTGTTCGCAGTTGATAATAATGAATAATCTGCCGTTTCGTTTACACGTTTGAATGGTATAATAGTTAGTAAAGGTATTACAGAAGCTCTGGAGGTGTTACACAACCGAGATTTTTCACACGGTTGTTGACGTTTCTATATTTTAACGCGTACAGTACCCAATGCCGTAACATCGCTGTGCGTGGTTAGAATGAGGAAACATGCGAAAGTTCACAAACTCTTAAGTTCTTCAACCTCCCAAAAAAAACGTCTGGGAGAGATAAAACTCGTGCAAAATGTAAGAAAAATGCATTTAGTT